TACTACGGGCCCCTCAACTGGATCACCTTCAATGTGGGCTACCACGTGGAGCACCACGACTTCCCCAGCATCCCAGGCTGCAACCTGCCCCTGGTATGTGGCTGGGGTGGCAGGGCTGTGGCAGGGCAGAGCAGGGCTGCGGCAGGGCAGAGCACGGCTGCGGCAGGGCAGAGCAGGGCTGCATGGCCATCTGAGGAGGTAGGGGCCCAGGAGGGCCTTGGGCCATGCCCAGCGACCTCTCCGTTTTGGTGCTGGTCATAGCATGGCCGCTCACACTTGCCCCAGGGCAGGAGGAAAGGCAACGAAACACAGGTGAGTCCTCTGCTGGAGGCTGAAGCAAATTCAGGGAGGCAGGGTCTGAGAGGCATTTCACAGTGGAGGCTGCTTGAAGCTTGCCATGAAGTATGCCAGAGGGCTGTGTTTCCTCTGGCAAGCTGCTTACCCTCTCTGTGCCCCAGCTTCCTCTTCCTTGAAGCAGGGCGGCGTTAGTGACACTGTGTGGAAGCACCATCTGCAGACTCTGTCCCTGCTCATTCCTTGTCATTGCCCTGTGTCCCTCCAGGGCCCAGAGAGGACAGGGCGGGCCTTGCCCTTCACAGCCCAAGGGGCTTGGCCAGAGCTGATGGGGAGCGGAAGCCGCAGGGCTGGGCACCTCTGCCTTGAGAGACTGGGAGCTGGAGAATTTCTGAACAAGAAAGGACGAAGGGGAAGGGGAGGAGGAGCCATCCCTTAGCCATTGCCAGCCTGTGCCTTAGTGGCCTCTGGCTGCCTGGAAAGAACTGGAGTGGCCTGCAGCAAAGGGGGCAGGAGAAGGTGGCACTGGGGTGTTCAGGCACCTGAGAGCGCCTCTGTGTGCACGTCTGTGTGAGCGTGTTTGCCCTGTGATTATGTGTGGGTGCCTAGTATTTGCACGTATGCAGGTACTTGCATGTGTGCCTGAGCGTGCATACATGCTCTGCATGTGGTTTCGTGTGAGCACTTGCCTAGTTGTGCAGGTGTTTGTGCATGAGTCCCTGAACGTGTTGTGTGTGCGTCCTGGCCCGTGTGACTCGAATCCCTCCGACCGGTTCCAAGCCTGGGCTGTGGCCTGTGCCCTCCTTTCTGGCTGGCAGTACCAAGGCGGTGCTCTGCACTGGGGACTATCTCGCTTGAACCTCACTACAGCCCAGGAAGCAGCTGCCTTCCCATCCATTATCCCTGTTGTATAGATAAAAAGGCAGAGGTGCAGGGGGAGAGAGATGCCCACCTCGGGAGGTGACAGGGTACAGAGGGGAGTGGTGCCCACCTTGGGAAGCGACAGGGCATGAGGATAGCTGCCCGCCTCAGGAGGTGATGGGGTGCAGAGGAGAGAGGTGCCCACCTCAGGAGGTGATGGGGCACAGGGGGAGAGGTGCCCGCCTCAGGAGGTGATGGGGCACAGGGGGAGAGGTGCCCGCCTCGGGAGGTGATGGGGCACAGGGGGAGAGGTGCCCACCTCGGGAGGTGATGGGGCACAGGGGGAGAGGTGCCCGCCTCGGGTGGTGATGGGGCACAGAGGGGAGAGGTGCCAGTCTCAGGAGGTGAGGGGTGCAGGGGGAGAGCTGCCCGCCTCGGGAGGTGACGGGTGCAGGGGGAGAGCTGCCCGCCTCGGGAGGTGACGAGGCGCAGGGGGAGAGCTGCCCGCCTCGGGAGGTGACGGGGCGCAGGGGGAGGGGTGCCCGCCTTGGGAGCTGATGGGGCGCAGGGGAGAGGTGCCCGCCTTGGGTGGTGATGGGGCACAGAAGGGAGAGGTGCCTGTCTCAGGAGGTGACAGGTGCAGGGGGAGAGGTGCCCACCTCGGGAGGTGACAGAGTGAGAGTGCTGCTGTTAATCACGAGCCTTTACCTCTCTCAAGCAAAGTGCAAGGCTTTGAGTGCCTGGTGCTGGCTTTGCCTCCCATGGCCCTGCTGTCCAGGTTTTGCGGCTGGATCCCCTGCATCCTGAGAGCATCCTTAGGAGGTGACGGGGTGCAGAGGGGGCAGGAAGGGCATCCTGTGATGGGAGTTGCTGAGCAGTGGGGCGGCATGGTGGTGGTGCAGTTGCAGGCACTGAAGCTGGGAGCACTTCCTGGAGGAGGCAGTGGGGGTGTTGGTGCAGAGCAAAGGCTGGAGGGGTTAGCAGGTGCTCAAGAGGCCTTTGGAAAGTGACAAGCACTTTCCTCGGCTCGCTGATGCCGAGGTCACTGTTGGCGGGTCACTGGGCTGAGGAGCATGGGTGTGACCCTGTGGCCTGGCAGGACTCAGGTGGGCTATGCCTCAGCTGCTACCCCAGCAGTGGGGTCTGTGGATCAGGAAGTGGGGTGGGGTCAAGTGGAGTGGTGCAATGAATTCTCCAACTACCACTTGGGGCAGGGCACTCCAGCAGGGAGCACCAGCCTTCTGGGTACCCAGGGAGGTGGGGGATGATGGTGGCAGGGAGGACTACAGGGGATGGCCCCGTGTTTGGCTGAGCTGGACATGGGCACCCCGGAGGCTGTGATGCATGTGCATGCATGTACACCTGTGTGTGTGTGTGCAAACATGTCTGTGCATGAGCGTGTGCAAGAGCAGCACGTGCTCAGGTGTGCGTGTGTGCTTGCACATGTGGCCCCGAGGGAAACCAGCCTCTGAGCCCCACCTCCTCTCCACAGGTGCGGAAGATTGCGCCCGAGTACTACGACCACCTGCCGCAGCACTCCTCATGGGTGAGGGTGCTCTGGGATTTTGTGTTTCAGGACTCCCTGGGGCCCTATGCCAGGGTGAAGCGGGTGTACAGACTCGCAAAGGATGGCCTGTGAGGCTGCCTCCTGGTGGCCATCATCCCCCACCTGCCCCTCCGGCCTCTCACCCCAGCTCTGAGGGGATGCATTTCCTTCCTGCGCCCCGGGCTGCTGCCCTTGTCCCCTCAGAGCGTCCTGCACAGCACACCTGGCCACAGCAGTGTGGGCTGCAGGGCTCTATCTGCTCGTGGACTCACCCTGGACCTTCGCAGTGGCCCTCCCTTTCCGTCCCTCACCGGGCAAGGCCTGGACCTGCCCGTGGTGACCTGGGTGCTCTGAGCCCACAGTACCCACAGAGCTGACTTCTTGGGGTGCCTGTGCCGTCCATTAAACCTGGCGTCTGTTTCACAGCCCATGGATTGTGCTTCTGAGGGGGTGCTGTGGGCTGGAGCCTGGCCCCAGAGAATGGGGCACTGGGCTGCCCCGGCGGGTGGAGCTTGAGGCCTGAGTGCCGCTTCCTCCAGGCCAGGCCCAGGTCCTGTGTGCGCTCCTGGCTCTTTGCAGGATGGTGCCTGCTGCTGGGCAGTGTCCCTGAGGGCCTGCCACTACCATGTGAACACACACTGAGGTGTGGACAGCAGAAAGCTCATTTTGGTCATCTGTGTGGCCCCGAATCTCCGGCTCCTCCCTTGCCTGGCTGGGCCCTGCAGAGGCTGGCTCCCCAGCCTGGAGCCCAAACTACCTGCCTCATCCCCACTCCTTGGGTCTGTTCACTTCCTGCTCTCCCTGTGCCTTCCGGCATGGGGAGTGTCCCGGAGCCCACAGAGGGTCTGTCTCCCACATCAGCTTAGAGGGGCTGGCCGGGCAGGTGAATGCGCTGGTGAGCCACAGCTCAGAGGGATGCGGGCCAGGCAGCGTCCTGGGAGTCTATGTGAAGTGGGCTATGTGTGGGTCCTTTCTACAGAAGGGCAGAAGGCACAGCTGGGATGTAAGAGGTTGTCTTCTCCTGGAGGGCTGGGCTGGGGTGGGTCCTGATGTCCTAGAGGTAGGTAGGCAGTAGGAGGGGTGCCTGGGTGAGGCCCTCCCTGCCAGAGAGAGAGATGGAGGGGCCCAGTCCTGCTGCTTCCACCACAGCCCTGGGGAAGGCAGCCTCAGCCTCCAGGACTTAGGAAGGGAGACCGAGGCTGCAGTCAGGGCTTGAAGGCCTTGCCATGAGTCGGGTCCCAGGGGCTGTCCCTACTGACTTGGGAGATGGAGGCCTCCCCCCACACCTGGGAGTGGCCTCGCATGGTGCCAGGCTCCCTTGTCCCTGGGCAGCCTGCTGAGTGGCACAGGGAAGCAACCTGAGCCCAGAATTTGTTCTGTGAAGGAAGCACCACTGGCCCCGCACGAAGACTTTGAGCTGGGCGGCCCCTCCCTGTACACACAGGCCCACTCACAGGCTGACGGGAGCCCCAGAGCACCCGTTCCTCCTGCTGTGTCTGAGGGGCGCCTTGTCCAGCACTTTTCTTCAGACCGCACAAAGGGGCATGTCCAGGCCTCGTCCACAAGCTGGAGGCCAGGCCCAGGTTTAGAGGGTGGTTCTGAAGATTGTCCTTGGAGCTCTCCGGGAGACTACAGGACTCCTGGCCTGGGGGGGAAGCAGGAGAGAGCAGCTCTGAGCTGTGGTCTGCAGGTCCTGGGTTAAAAGTGCCACCAGACCTTGGTGCCTTGCCTCCTAAGGGGAAGAACAGTCATATTCCTGTCACTAGGGCTGCTGGGAAGCCCAGGGAGGTGCAGTGTGTCAGGAGCAGGAGCTGGCCCTTGAGATCAGCCACTGGGTCCCAATACGCCAGTGCTCCCTTCCCTGCCATGGCCCTTGGGGGCTGCTGGGCACACTGCTCTTGGTGGCCGTGGGGGGTCATGTGGGAGAACTGGGGCATGAACGGTCACAGGATCTCAAGGCCAGCCTGTTGGTGACCCTGGGTCCTAGAAGCCAAGGGTCAGAGCCTCTGTCTCTGGCTGCTGCTTCAGGGCAGGGGCCTGGGACAGGCCATTGCAGGCCAGGTGGTCCTCCCCAGAGACTTTGTGGACCCGAGGAGCAGGCAAAGCTGCCTTGCATTTGCCCGGTGTCTACTGAGCCCCACGTCCATCCCTCCCCTGGACAGGGTGCTCAGGGGGCCCTGTCGTCAGAATGCGCACAGAGTCCTGTGGAGCTCAGGGGTGTGGGCTGCACTTAAGGGCCATCTTCCTGGGGGTCCTGAGGCCCAGCTCCAGGACACCAGCCCACCCTTCCTGGGCTTGGGAATGCTCTGAGCCCAACTTTCTGTCCAAGACCACCATCTTGCTCCTACGACTTCTGGTCACGGTGGTCCCAGGCTCTTCACCGAGTGTGAAGGACCAATGTGAGATCCTGAGTGCGAGGGTGCGGACAGTAAACCTTTATTACTGTGTGAACACAGACACCGTGGTGCATGACAGACAATTTCAACACCATGATCGCTGGGGACGGAGCTGCGCTGGACAGCTCTGCAGTGCACGGTGGCGCCAGACCAGGCCGCTGTCACTGCCAGCTGAGGCGCTAACAGCGTCACCTGGGAGAAAACCTGGAAACCATCTAATGAAGCAGGTGATTTAGGGGTGTCTCTCTATAAACCAAAAGAAATGTACACTTAAATAAGCAAATATAAAATACAAAAAAGACAAGTAGACCTGGTGTTCTGTGTCAGGTAGAATCTAAAAAAATCCAGGAGTTGCACTTGGTTTCCTCACTGTAACGTGTGATCACAGGTCGGGAGGTTTCTCGGCAGTGCACCTACGCTCCCGTGCGTGCTCTGGTGCGCTGGAGTCTGGGGCTGGCTGGGCTCCTGGCTGTCCTCCGTGGCCAGATGGGCTCGACATCTCAGCGCAGCGCGGCTGACCCCTTACGTGGTGCTGATCCCACTCAGCTCCTGCCTGATGGCTGTGGGACAGGTGGTGGCGGCTCAGGTGCAGCCATGGTGAGTGCAGTCCAGCTCCTCATCAGGGCCCCGCGCCCCTGGCGTGGACCTGCCTGGCATCTGCCCCTGCCCCATCCCCTGGGAGCCCCACCCAGGCTTTGGCGCAGACATCTGGGATGATGACAAGAGGCTTTTGGGGGCTCATCCGCCATTCCTCCTGTGGCGGCCCCTGCTGCCACTGCCCCTGTTAGGGGAGGATCTGGCTCAGGACAGATGCTGGTGCCCTGCCTGTGGCTCACTGCTGCTGAGGCATGGTGGGTACTGGGACCCTGGTGTGAGGAGCTGCTCTGCGTGGGGATGCAGGGTCTTTGTAGGCTCTGGACAGGTGGCTATCGAGGTGCCAGGGGCCTGGGAGCCCTTCCCCCAACAGAGTGGAGGCTGAGGTTCTGCCCTCCCTGCTCCTGCAGGGGCAGCAGGAAGTCCTGGCCCTGGCTCTGCTCACTCCCCAGGAGACACAGGGGCCTCTCTTGTCTCCTGGCTTTCTCCCCACCCCAAGCTAGTGCTCCAACTCCCCGCCTCCCAAATTTGGGCCTTTCCCTCCTTGCTCTGCTATCTGTCTCCTCCCTGACTCCCCCTCCTCTATGCCAGCTCAGGCCTCTCCCTGGATGGACCCTGTTGGGGCAAGAGCCAACAGCCAGGGCAAGGCGGGGGGGTGGCATCCCCCAGCCACAGGGAGCTGCTTCGCAGAGCCCCTGGCATGGTCCATGCCCACCCCTTCCTGGGCTCTCAGCCAGGGTGGTTTCCTGGGGCTGTACCTGTGACAGGCAGAGGCTTTGGAGGGCCCTTGGTTTCTGACCAGCTATGCCTGGGGCTGGAGGGTGCCCAGCAGTAAGGCGGTGTTACCAGTTAGCTGGGTAGACTGCCTCACATTCCCTCATTTGTTAACTCCTTATCTCCCCAGCCCAGGCCTTTGGGCGAACTGGACAAACAGGAACTGAGTGCTCTCTGCTCAAACAAGGGCGGGCCGGCTAGGCGGGGAGGCCTGGGTCTTCGGACTCCTACCTGTCTCTTTCCTCTGCCATCAGCCTCCAACCCTGTGTGCTTGTGGGACCCTTTTGCCCAGGTCACTGCAATGTCCCCGGGGCCAGACCCAGCTGCACACCAGGTGTGAGCCTTCATCGCCCTAGTGGGGGAGGCAGGTGGGAGCTGGCACTGGCTGCACTGCACAGCTCTGACCCAGGGCTAAGCCTGCCCTGCCCAGACCCACCCCCTTTTCCTCTGGCTGCAGATCTGAGCCAGCGCCCTCAAAGGCTCTGGTGGGAACCGGAAGGACGGATGTATTGCACTGAGACCCGCCCTGCTCCGGAGCCAGAGGCTGCTCCCCACCTGCTCCCCAGCCCAGGGCCAGGCAGGCTGCGGCTCAGGCCTGGAAGGGGCTTCTGTGGCCCTTGGTCTCCCTGAACCCCCAGGAAGGCAGAGTGCTTCTCTCAGAACCCCAACACGAGTGACTGGAGGTGGCAGAATCAAGATGGCAACATAAACCATCAGGGGTGAAATGACAGATGCTCAGGTGGCTTCCTCCAGACCTGGCTTTGTAATGATGTGGGGTCTGCCCACCATGCACCTCCTACGTGGGACCTCGGGGAAGGTGCACAGGGCTGTGGAGGGTCTCAGATTCGGATGTCATGCCACCGGGAGCTGCACATTCTTAGGCAAGTCACTTAGCTTTCCTGAGCCTGTTTCCTCAACTAGAGATCGTAAGAAGAATGAAATTTCTTACAGGGTGGGCTCTGCTCAAAACTGCAGGCCCCCACCCTGGGTGACAGGGACCCCTGTCCTGCAGCCCTGGGTGCCGCCCTCCCCAGCAGGGGTTCCACTCACCATCGATGATCTCCTCCTTCACCTTGTGGAGCTCTCTGACCACCTCCTCTAGGATCTCCTATTGGAAAGGAGCATCCAGGTGAAGGGACAGGCAGTGGAGACAGAAAAGCCAGGGCCATGTTCAAAGGGGTCAGGGTCTCCTGGGCCTCTCCAGAGTCACATCTGTCACCCTTGCCTCCCTGCGGCCCCCTTTCCACGCTGAAGGGGGACAGTGTGGAAGGCCTGGAGACATCCTGCAGCCGCCTCCCTCAGGCAGATGTGGCTGAAACTAAGGGCTGCCCTAGGGAAGAAAACCCCCGAGGCGGGCCTAAGGGAGGTGCCCAGAAAGGTTGAGGGACGTCTTAGTTCTGGTGACAGCAGGGGCTGGGGACAAGGGACAAGCTTGGTCACCCCCTTTCCGTCATGGCTGCTCCCTGACTGGCTTTTTGGCAGCCACATGTGGGCCCCCAGGGCCTGCCTGGCCGTGCTGGTCAGAGACGGTCCCCAGCCTGCTGGCTGCTCTCAGCGTCTGAGAAGGGCACAGGGCACACTCACCTGCTTCATCCGGTCCAAGTCGAAGGCATCCAGGGCCACGTCATTCACGCTCCCAGCAGGCTTCATCCTGGGAGAGG